GCCCCAATACCCGAGAAGTATCGGGGGAATGCCATCAAGCCCTACGACAGCCGCACTGACCCCCGGGAGCATTTCAGCCGCTATCAAAACAACATGCTAATGGTGAATGCGTCTAATGAATACATTTGTCGTTGATTCCTCTCCACTCTTGAGGGACCAGTGTACGAGTGGTTCAACACGCTGCCTAAAGGAAGCGTGGACTCATGGCAAGATCTTGCCTAACACTTCCTCACCCACTTCGCCGGAAGGAAGCGCGTGAAGAAACATTTCTCCCATCTCCTCTCCATCAAACAGCAACACGATGAATCACTCTGGTCTTTCATCGACCGATGGACGAAGGAGACAGACGAGGGCTAAGGTGCCGATGAGCGCACCCTCCTCGTCCTCTTGCAGAGTGTTCTCCGCAGCAGCCCCTACGCACGGAGCCTCATCACTGACCCGTCGAGGTCATACACCAAGGGACTCCAGCGTGGGAACTTGTATGCTGACGTCGATGAGCTCCACTCCCATAAAAAGGATGGAGGCCAGCCATAAAAGAAGACAAACAATGCGCCGGCTCCAAGCGCACCCTCGGCCGGGGGGCGAGATCATGGAGGCCAGGCCCGCCAGGGCTGGATGGAGCGCCCATGGCGGCCGAGGTTGGACATGCCAAGGACTCCCCTCACACACTCGGTGAGCACCATCCTTGACTAAGTAGAGGGGTATGATCTCTTTCCCAGGGATCCTCGATCAGCGAAAGAAATCTACGCGGTCCACCAGGGCGGTACTTATTGTCGTTACCACAAGAACACCTCCCACGATACAAACGATTGTGTCGCGCTGAGGAAATCCATTGAGCGCTTGATTCAACGGGGTGAACTCCACCAATTTATTAAAGGCACCCCAAGGAAAAACACCTGGGCGAACACCGACAATCAGGAAGGGGACACCTCAACAAAGAAGCGTGAAATTGGGAGGCTTAGCGATGACGAGGACTTCGAGGAGCCCCAGCCGAAGAAGCGTCACATCCACTGATTGTGTCCTTCACCGAAGGGACGCACGACCGATGGGGAGGCGAAAAATTAGCCCTCAAGATACGAAGGGCCCTACATCATCAATGCCGCAATCAAGAACGGCGCATACAAACTCACACCCTAATGGGTCAGGAGCTCTTAGCAAGCCGAAGAGGGTGCAGACGGGCAGAACCCCCACCCCAAGGTCAGAAGCTCACTGAGAAGCCAACTCCTAAACGGGTTGTTGAGAAGATTACCACCCTCGGCCTCGAGCCACTGATCATAATAAAAGTCGTTGCCATGAACAACGCACCTATTGTGTTCCGCTTATTTTTGTAAACTTAAGTAAAGGATGCTACACAACAAAGAACATCGTTTCGGCCCCTTAGAGCGAAACGCGCAGATATGGCTGACGATGTCCCAGGACGAGGACCTACAAAATGGCCCGCGTCTTGAAATTAGAAGGTCATCGCGTTGTCCTCGCGCTAAATCGCAGGGCGGCAAGCCTGAAAGAAGGCCGAGGTGACAAAATCTCCACAAAGAACATCGTTTCGGCCCCTTAGAGCGAAACGCTCAAGTATGGCCGACGATGTCCCAGGATGAGGGACCTTCAAAATGGCCCACATCTTGAAACGGGAAGCTCACCGCGTCACCCTCGTGCTAAATCGCAGGGCGGCAAGCCTGAAAGAATGGCCGAGGTGACAAAATCCCCACACTTGGGGTTGGGAAACGGCAGTCGTCGGTAACCGACCAAAAGCCTAGCCCGCGTCGTAAATAGACGACGGGACCCCCCAAGATTAAGGGACGATCCACCGCCAGAGGATAACAAACGCCCTCATGAACTCCCTACCGGCCGAGGGAATAACAACCCCCTCGGCCGAGTCTGAAAGAAGGATACTCACTCCTCGCTCAAAGAAGTAAAGAGGAAATCAAAAAAGAGGGAAGCCGAGGACCGTGCACTCGCCGGCCTCGAGCGAAATCCCCACAAATCAAAAGAGGGAAGCCGAGGACCATGCACTCGCCGGCCTCGAGCAATAAAAATAAAATCCCCACAAATCAAGCCACATATTTGGCTAAGTACATATCAGGCAAATACTATGCATTATGGACGAAGTAAGACCTTACATGCGGATCAGATGGACGCCAACGACTTGTCCTTCATCAAAGGACGAGTGTCACCAGTGTCGTCCTTTATCTTCAGAACAACATCAAAGCCTAGTCCTTCACATGACGTACGGCTTCATAAACGCCATTGTCATCAAGGGATGTGCGTCCAGCGCCGCCCTTCATCTTCAAACCAGGGTGAAAGCCTGGTCCTTCATATGACGGACGGATTCATCAACGCCGTAGTCATCAAGGGACGTGCATCCAAAACCGTCCTTCAACTTCAGGCCGGCATAAAAGCCTGGTCCTTCATATGACGAACGACTTCATCAATGCCGTAGTCATCAGGGGACGTGCGTCCAGCTCCACCCAACTTCAAACCATCGTCAAAACCTGGTCCTTTATATGACGAACAGCTTCATCAGCGCCGTCGTCATCAGGGGATGGGCGTCCAACGACGTCCTTCATCTTCAGGCGGGCGCCAACGCCCAGGTCTTCATCAAAGGACGAGCGTCCCCAACGCCGCCTTTCATCTTCAGGTGGGCGCCAACGCCCAGTCCATAAAAAAGACAAGCGTCCCTCAAATTCATGCCAGCGTCAAAGCCTAGTCCTTCATGGGAAGTACGGCGTCATCAACGCCGTCATCAACAAAGGAAGGGCGCCACCAGCGCCGTCCTTCATCTTCAGGCCAGCTTCAAAGCTTGGTCCTTCATAGGACAAATGACTTCATCAACGTCTCTGGGGGTCTTCCCTATGCCAGAGGCCATACGTCCCCTGGGGTCTTCCATATGCTAGAGGTCGTACGTCCCCGGGGGTCTTCTCATACGCTGAAGGTCGTACGTCCCCGGGGGTTTTCCATATGCTAGAGGTCATACGTCCCCAGGGTCTTTCTGTCACTTGGGCTTGTCGGGCCTATTCGTAGTAGTGGAGGTAGAGGTTACTATGCTAAAAATGCATAGGGTCTCTGCAAGTACTAGGGACAGAGTCTCACTCTCTATCTGTCAGATTATGATTATAGTCCAACTTACATCCTCCCAATGTACCGTCCGGTTGGGGTTGGGCCCTCAGGGAAAGGGTGTCATCCTTTTTAAAAAAATAGATCAATTTTTTGGGCCAGTCGTAGTATTTATCGTTCAGAAAGTTGTAACGACGCAATCGTGAATCGTGATCACTTCTAGGATTGTGATTTAAGAACCGGGATTCGATAAAGAATTTATCGTAGCTCTCTCTCTCTCTCTAGGGTTACCCACTGGTAACGCCTAGGATATACCGCCGCCGCAGGTTTCTCACCAGGCTTGCGCCAGGAGAACCGAGTGAAGCGAGACTCCTGTTGCTGAGCTTTGTTCTCGAAGCGTCGGTGCTCTACCTCTTGGGCTTTGATTACGTCTTCGAGTCGGTTAGGACGTTTGGGATGGGCAAGCTTTGGATCGCTTCGGGGGTAGATTCGGCCACCGTGTTTACCAAGAGAAAGAGGGAGAAGGGGCGTCTGTATGGAAAGCGTGGTAGACAAGTACAGACAGAGGGCTTTGGCGGAGGAGGAGGAAGACCTGGATCTCGACGATACAGAGGCGGGCGAGGAGCTGAAGAAGGAGATTAGGCCGGGTTTCCCAGTGGTCGGGGTGCTGCTGACAGACCGAAATGTCCGATTCCCGACGATCAAGGAGATGTTAGCGTCGCTATGGAGACCGGGTAAAGGTCTATCAGTCAAAGAAGTCGGGGAGAAAAAGTATATATTTACTTTTTATCATCGTTTAGATATGAATCGGGTTCTGGATGGAGGACCATGGCAATTTGTGAAAAAAATATTGTTATTAAAAGATGTTAAACCTGATGATATTCCTCACAAAATTGTCCTGAATGAGATTGACTTATGAGTCCAGGTTCATAATGTGCCTTATAATTTGGTTAATTTAGGTACGGCCCAGAGAGTTGGAAATTTTATAGGAAGGTTTATAAAATACAATGATAACCAGAATAGTGAAAAGTGGGAGGCCTATATGAGAATACGAGTGTGTGTGAATGTGGAAAAAGTACTGAAAAGAGGTACCAATTTGAAGAAGGATGGCAAAAGTTACTAGGTAGATTTTAAATATGAGAAACTGCCAAACTTCTGTTTTATCTGTGAATTAATTGGACACTCAGACAAAATCTGCCACTTGAACTACGAAGAAGATCCTGTTTTGGAGAAAAAGTTTGGAGTTCATCTTAGAGCAGGTAATGGAGGGAAGACGAGCCCTACGGGAGGAAACCAATGGTTACTGGAGAGTTATTCGAGCTCTGGAAGGGATCATAGGTACGGGGAGGGGGCTAAATCAGAGGATAGGATGAGAGTCGGGAAAAAAGATTTGAGGGTTGAGTCAGAACAGAGTATAACAAAGGGTGCAGGAGGTGAGAATAAGGAATAACTAACAGGAGAACAGAAGCGCAGGAGGCTATGGGAGACACAGGAAGATGATCTGCAAGGGAAGGAAAGGATGGCACTGGATGGGACAAAAACGGGGAGGAGGCGGGCTTCGAGCAGTAGGTCCGCCTAAGAAGATTAAGAGCCAGAAGACGGGAATCTTGATGAGGGTGCAGAGCAAGCAGATCGGAAGGCAGACATTTATTTTTTATTTTAGCTTTTATTACTTCACAGACTGTTCCATTTGTTTTTTATTTTGGTTAGCTGTTGTTTTTCCTGTTTGTAAGACATTGGATTTAGATGTGGATGACAACGGAATTGGGGTAACCGTTTTTTGATCATTTGTGCTCATTAATGGATCAACGAATTATATTGATTCTGATGAGGTGATTAACTCTGAATCTGATTCGCGGGACAGCGATTGTCAGGATTCTATTTGTCGGATTACCCATCATCTAAATGTTGAGATATTAATTTAAAGCAAATTCTTCCAAAAAAAGTTGTAACGACGTAAAGAAATTTTACTGCTCCGTATCACAATCCCTGTCAAAATGACAAAAAAAAAAGATTGACGCTGACACCAGACAAAATTGATACAGAGACGGTGCATCGGCCATAGCCCATTACCGTCGACTGGACCTGACGGCTCCCCCTTTTCACAGCGACTTTTCTTCGGCCGCCAAATCCTTCCAAATTGGTGACGGCAGCCGTGACAAAACAACCACCCGTTCCGTTCGTGGATGGTCAACCCCCCTCGCATTCGTCTGTCTCCCGTTTCCACATCGCAACCCCACGTCCCCTGCCTGTCTCGAACCGGACCGGTGAATTTTACCATGTGTGTAATTTTGGTACTCTACTCTCAGTGGAAATCCGATTCTGACTCTTATAAATATGTCCTCTTCCATGCTCGGTCCTCCATTTCTCAAAGGAATTCGGGTCAACCATAGCCGGCATCCGAACAGGGGAAGCATAAGAAGAAGACCAAGAACCGAAGAAGAGAGTAGAGAATTCGAACTTCGAAGAGTGAAATTCAATACGGTATGGAGTTTTTACCTCCCGGATTCCGATTCCATCCTACCGACGAGGAGCTGGTGGTGCACTATCTATGCCGGAAATGCGCGGCCCAGTCCGTCGCCGTTCCCATCATCGCCGAGATCGACCTCTATAAGTTCGACCCGTGGCAGCTTCCCGGTACCTTTTCAATTTCATCTCGATCTCTCTTTTTTTCAAAAAGAAAGTGAATTTTAGTGATCCTTTTTACTGAAGTTAGTTTGTCATCGGGATTTTCGAATAATGCAGAGATGGCTTTGTACGGTGAAAAAGAGTGGTACTTCTTCTCTCCGAGGGACCGGAAGTACCCGAACGGTTCACGCCCGAACCGGGCTGCCGGGACAGGGTACTGGAAGGCAACCGGAGCCGACAAGCCCGTCGGGAAACCGAAAACGTTAGGGATAAAGAAGGCGCTGGTTTTCTACGCCGGGAAAGCTCCTAGAGGAATAAAGACAAACTGGATTATGCATGAGTATAGGCTCGCCAACGTCGACCGTTCTCCAGCCTGCAAGAGAAACAATCTGAGGGTAATTAATTTAACTCTTTTTGCTTATTTTCTTAAAGAGTAGCCTTCTTTAGGTTTAACTTTTTTTTACTTTCGAATTACCTCGTACTTGTATAGTTGTATGCAAGTAGAAAAGCTTCTTCAACCTCGTACTTGTATAGTTGTATAGTTGTATACACGTAAAAGGTCTATCGTCGATTTGTTGACTGAGTCACCGTGATTCTTCCCCACCGTCCTGTCGGATCGGGGTGGGGCTTTGGGTTGGGCATTCAACCTTTTGGACCAAGATCAAGAAAAGCTTCTTCTTTTTACCACCTTTTTCATCATAAATTACCAAGTACAGAAACACATGTCAGCTGTTTGAATTTACAAATATATTGGAGAATAAAGCTTCTTTTTGCTTTACTTCATCTTATTTTAATCAAGTCACACCGAATTAAAGAATTCAAACCGTATAAAAAAGACATCAGACCAAAGTCATCAAACCAAATACGGAGTATTTTATAAAAAGAAACTACTAATATTACTATTGGAAAGGATGGAAAACAATGTGATGCCATAACAAGGTGCAGTGAATATGCCGTAAAATTTGTAATCGCATTTTTGTTTTGACTTTTTATTTGTAATATTTTAGGAAACCCCCTATGCTTTTTTAGATAAGAAAATATGACAAAATAAAAAACACTATTATCTAGACTACACAGAAAAAGTTGGTTCCGACCAAATGAGATTAGAAACATTGATTCCAAATCAGGTTGCAAGACATTTTTTAAGGAGGCATAGTGAGAAGATATTCATAGTTGGAGAGAGTGGTAACACCATTTCTGATTGTGTATTGATCAATGGTAGCAGCTTGATGACTGGGTACTGTGCCGAATATACAACAAGAAGGGAACTCTTGAGAATTACTCACACTATGGTGGCGACGGTAGCAGTATGGACGAAAAGGAATTCCATTTCCCAGAAGCCGAAGAAGATCATAAGCCCAAAATAATCAGCCCTTTTAATGGGATGCCTAGGCAAGCAGGCATTCTTCAGACAGGCTCAAGTTGCTGCTGCTCAGAGCAAATACAATCGTCATGTGACAAAGAGGTCCAGAGTGCCGCCCCTAAATGGGACGACAAAGAAGACGTTCATGTCCAGCTACTCAACAACAGCTACTACCATATGGCAGATGATGATGCTCTGCCTCCAATGAACTTCCACTATCCTTTCACCTCTCAAACGCCCCAGCAATATAATAATGACTCATTCAATCCTTTCCAGTCAGATATGTTTTTCATGCACAACAAGTCCACTTCCAACTTCTGCTTGTAGATACATTGGCTCCTCCCCCCAAATATCTTATTCACCAAGCAAAATCAAGAAAAGTGCTAGTTTGCTAGCATTTGCTATGATGGAGGGGTAGATTGTGTTGTACTTGGTTACTGGAAATTTTATTGTTTAAATGTATTGATGATCCCAAGTACTGTAAGTTGGGAAATTCTTCATGTAAATAAATGAAACAAAGAAGTAAACAACTTTCAGTTCCCATACTTCTTAACCTTGCATATATGCGTAAAGTTTACGCCGTAAAGTGTAAACTAAATGAACGTGCAACAATACTATTACTCCGTATTATATTTAGACTTTATTTAGTATGAACCATCTTAGAAGGTCACCCGACTATGCAACAAGATAAACAATCTAATGACTTAGATGTGAGTTTGCATTTTTTGTACTTATATGGCGTGGGATGGCTTAGCACAGTAAAGTAGTATCAAATATTCTACTCTCTAGAGGAAAAAGGTTCACTTAAAACTGTGCTTACAAAATGTCATTGCTAATATATATACTCTAATGAAAGCCAAGAACGTCCCTTAACCAAGGTTCAGTATTATTCGTGTAGCATTACTGAGCTTATAACACCACCAACCCAATTCAATCATAGAACCCTATGATCACCCACACCATACCTGCATCAATTAAGAAAACATTGAAGGTCAGTTACTGAAAGATACTTAAAAACATATACGCCATTTAGCAGCTAGTCTTTACGAGCTAAATTATGATCAAGTAGGAAAAGAATGGTTAAGAATTGCAAAGTATGTGAGTCATCCCAATGCATTATTTCTTTTACCACACTTAGTAATTAAACTGCATATATAGAAGCAAGATCCAGCTAATCCTCATATACAAGCAATAATGGCTTGATTACCAGCTAGTATCATAGAGAAATCAGTTACAATATAAACAATAGAATAGAATGCAATGAAACAAAAATTAAAAAAAATGACTGTCTTCATGCCTCAATAACTTAGTTTGACTTTCACAGACATTACGCAAATCGGATTATTCCTTTGACTTCCAAAGTGCTATGCCGATTTATTGAGGGTGAATATTACTGATCTACAATGTTTTAACTTTGTTCCACTGTACAGCTACCATTTACAACAAAAGGTGGATATTATTTGAAGATAGCATAGTAACTTGATAAGATTTATATTATTAAATCAGAAAAGAGGACATTATTTAGGGACTTCCTAAAAATTTCAAGAAGACTAAACAGAGAGGGTGAATAAAAAAAGATAGTTGTGCAATTAAATGGCCAAAGCAAAATACAAATCAAATGGAGGTAGCAGGTGGTACCTGATGCAAAATCTTTGGGTTTGAAAAGGGTAGAAAACTGAAGATCAAGCGAGCTCTACATCCAGAAAAACTCAGACAAAAAAATGTTTTACATTTGCCAGAAAGGATGTCTGCCACTGAATGTCCTATGGAGGCACAAATACTAAAGTTCTTGATGTGTAGGTTGTTTCTGATATTGAGGGCTACAGAGAAAATGGGTTAGCCTATTATTCTCACCACGCCTTTACTTCTACGTAATAAAAGGAACAATTGGAATAACAAAACAATGTATGCATAGAGCAAACCAAAGCACAAATGTTGAAGATAAAGTCAACTATGGGCTTGGTTCATGCTTCTTATTACTTATATACGATAGTATAAGTGTATAAATAATGCTGCACTTGCTATTTCACAAATAAGAAATCATGTTCTCTATTTACATCTGAAAAGAGTTTGATCTTGATGGATTATCACACTTTGCAGCGGTCCATCCTATTGATTTCTTCTCATTGTCATAAATCACCATTTTATGTTGCATTGATATATCTGCAAAAGAACACACAAAAATGCAACGAAAAGAAAGTATTAGGTTCATAATGAGATGCTTGTATTATGCCACACCATCCATTATTACCTCCGATGATGTTAATATCTTGCAGGCCTGCTTCTGTACCATTGAGAACCCCCAAACAGACACTGCCTTTAGACTTCACAGAAACACCAACAGTAAATGAGTTGGAAAAAAAAAGTAAAAGTAAATTCGGAGTAATAAAAATATGGAACAGAAATGTTAAAGAGATAATGTTGAATCACTCACTGAGATAATAAGATATGATTCTGGGGATATCTCGAACAGAGATTTGGCTTTCCATCCATTGGAAAAGCCTAGTGCAAAAGGTTTGAAGTATTGCTTGACATCCTGAACTGTTTTCAAAGGCTTCTTGCCCTTCCAGCATAGTGGGAGAGTGTCATCATCATCCGCTTTTCTCAAAGGCTTGCCACTCAGTCCTTCTTCTACCTACATGCAGAAATGAAATAACAGCCATATATAAATCAAACACTACAAAGAATAGAGGCAGATCACTTGTAAATAAGTAGAGACCAGCCAGAGGTATCAAATTAAATTTTGCACTATAAGAAATATGTCAAGGACCCTTATGTGGGACAAGTCTACAACCACCAAAAGAGAGGGCTGCATGTGCCAGGTTGAAGTAGTCCCCAAGTATCTGTCTAATAAGTTTCCTTATATTAGTCAGCCTATTATATTACAAGCATTAGTTTATACTCCCTGTGTCCCATAATGTAAGAAACATTTGCGTGTGGCACGTTTTTTTAGAAACTTGAGGATTAAGTTGCTGTTTTACATTTCTAACCTCCAAAAGGTAAGAATTAGTAGGACGGGTCCACAAAAAGTATAAGGTGAAAGATAGATAAAGGGATAAAAAGTAAAGTAAAAATTTAGTGGAGTATAATTTAGCAAAGTGATCATATTCTTCGGACAACCCAAGAAGGAAAGTGTATCTTACAAAATGGGACGGAAGGAGTAGCAGTTTAGATCTATTAACTATGTTTGTTTTAGAACTCTTGTCTTTGCCTATATAAGCCTTATTATTTGGACTAAATAAAATATCTTTGGAATATTAACTAACTGATATGCAAGGCAAAGCCTGTGGGTCACTTCATTACCTAGGGCAAGAAGTTCGGTTCTTCCTCCAATAGATTCTTAATATACGATAGCCTTAAACTAAATATCATTACTCCGTATCATGAAACAATTTTCAAATATTATCAGAAAAGAACAAAATAAATACTCCAGCTCACCAAAGAAATGAAAGCTCGGTATGCCTTAAAATGTAGATAACTATAAGAACTCCCACTGTCAAAGATTACAAGAAGATTTTTAACCCCTGTACTAATACCATCAAAACTCAGCTCTGCAACTCCTGGTGAGTAGTGGCTCCTGTAACATCAGTTGAAAATTCATCCGGGAGAATTAATTCAAAGTATATAGATACTACCTCCATCCCGAAAAGATTTTCCATATTGACTTTTCTTGGTCGATGTTGGCAATCTTTGGACAATGATTTTAGTATTATATTTGTATAATACTAATATCCGTGTGGACGATTGATGTCTTGTCTACCTTTCCTCTCTTTTCTTTTATCGTTTATCTTCCTTATCTTTTTATATTTTTATGCTATTTTTATCTTTTAGCTTTTTTATGCTCTTTCATTTTTTATCTTTTATCTTTCTTATATTCTTGTGTTATTGTTATCTTATATTTATTCATCTTTATTTTATTCATTTTATCTTACTTTTTTCCTTCCCTTTCTTGTCCGTCTTCTCCTTTTGGCATCGATATCATAGATCGATTCATGTTAGTCGACCCCAAATTCTTTTGGGATTAAGGCTTGGATGTTGTTGTTGTTGTTATTTGTATAATTCTATATAATTTATACTGCATATATTTTATACTTCAGAAAATATTTTGAATAAGGAACATTTTGATATAACTTTCATATTCAAAATAATTTCATATTAAAAAATATCGTTGGACACTTGGACAAAGTTAATTTCCATTGACCAAGAAAAGTCAATTTAGCGAACCTTTTTGGGATGGAGGGAGTATAATAGAGGGTGTGTATGTGTGTTTCATGCCCATCTTTCCCCCCTTTTCACTGCCTATATGATTAGATAACATTATTACTTATAATCATGCAACATTGGAGTCCAAACTACTTCTGAAGCATCATAGACTTGATCGCCAAAGAAGAGATACCCTCCTTGCCCACCCAAACAATGGCCAACAACATTTCGCACCAGACCCATTTTCTTAAGCTGTGAAAGAATGCTGGTTGGTCCTTTTCCCAGTCCAAGTACGCCATCTACAGGATGGTGAGAGTGACCAATTACCTGGTCATATCCACATCTATAGCAAAAAAAATACTTCTTTTTCGTCAAATGAAATACAAAAAGTAATTTACAGGTAAATATACGAAAGGAAACATTTCCCAACATCAAAAGCTTCTTTGAAAAAACAATGTAAATATCTACAACAGATATGTCAAATAAAAATATTTCCATCTTGTTTTCTACATTACATTTCCAAGATATGTTGGACAAGAATGGACATAAAGATAACTTCTCAGAGTGAAACATATAGTATGCCATTCGTCTCACACATCTTCCCAATTGCTGTTAATAATTGTTGGTAGCAGTTAATATTTCTTGAGAACTGTAAGAAACTACTTAGTGTAAATTAATAGACTAACAAATTATATCTATCAAAAACTAGGTGTATTTGAACCGGAGTTTTGGTGGAGAAACTACAAATTAATGTCTTTTTCAGTAAAATACTATATATTATCAAATGTGAGCTTGCTCTTCCATCATTTGCAATGGAGCCAAAGATTCATTATTTTTTGGCTTGAGATTATGATGGAATAAAGCAAAATGGCTCACTAAACTGTCTGCGCTTCTTTGTTATGAAGCAGCAGTGAGTCCATGCAATTTTGGACGGGATTTTCACTATGGGTCATCCGGAAA